GCTAACAAATTGTCATGGGTTTGGCAGGGAAACCTGAAAGAAACCACATGTACTGCTTTTTCTGTCACATCTACCTCTTTTCTTCCTCTTCCCTTATGCCTTTGCTCTCTTTTTTAAAATACTCTGGAATCCCTCTTCAGGGCATACTGAAACCAAGCTAGGGCTGAAGGCTTTGTAATTACACAGCAACTGCTGGTTTTCTCTCCTTTGTAAGTTCTTATTCATAGAGTATGGTCCTAGCCGGTGGATCATACAGCATAAATGATGAACCGCTTCAGAAGATCTTCTCACAACGATGACACTTACGGGGTTTCTCTTTGGTATAATTTTTCAGATGCTTGGCAGGAGGTTTCCTCTGGCAAAGAGTTTCCTCAGGACTTACATTCAAAAGGCTTCTCCTCAGTATGAGTTCTCTGGTGCTGACTGAGGGAAGTCCATTTGCAAAAGGCTTTCCCACGTGTCTGACGCTCACAGGGTTTCTCCCCAATAGGAATACTTAGGGGGCGGGGGGAGCAATGAATGAAGGTTGAGCGTGCGTCCACATTCACTGTGTTCACAAGGTTTTCCCCACTGTGACTCCTTGTGTTGACTTCGGGAAAAGAGGGCACAGAAGGCTCTCTGATCTTCTTCACACTCCAAGGGTTCTCCTGCAGTGTGGACTCTATCATGCCAGAAATAAAAGCGGTGACTGGAGGCCTTTCCACAGCACTGCATTCAGGGCTTCTCTCCTGGGAAAACACTTATGCGATCAGCAAGAGAACAGCGGTCACAAGAGGCTTACCCCCTCACTTTGTACTTGAAGACACTTTCTCTTGGGTGGGCAAAACTATTCTGGACAAAAGCGGAGCTGTCCCCGAGTCTCCTCCGTTCCTGGCATTCATAAGGCTTCTCCCAGCGTGAATCTGCCTGTGCCACGGGAGGTCTGGCCCGCAGCCGAAAGCCCTACTGCACTTGGAAACTCTCCCATGGCTTCACTTGAGGTAAACACTCACGTGCTCACTGAGGTCTGCCTTCTCGAGAAAGGCTTTCTCACGTTCAGTGCAGTCCCGGGCTTCCCTTCAGCACAAATGCTGTTGCCAAACAACACGCCACCATCTGTTGAACCTTCCTCTCGTAGATTCTTCCCATAGACCACCGATGCTTTACGTGGACTGTGTGAGTGGTTCATGAAAGGCGCCCCACTGAGACTTGCTCCCGTGAAAGCCTCAAAGGCAGATTAGCTGTGCTCGGAGCTCACCTTCCCCGGGAGACTCTCCATGTGGCTCAAGTACCTCTCCGCTGGCCCTCGTTGTTCCCGGTTCACCCCAACCATGAGCCCCATGAGATGCTCTGAGTCAACCAAGCCTGGAGTGAGGCTGCCTCCCACAAGCGGAAGGCTTTATGGTCTCAGGTTGTGCTTTCCTGCCTAAAGGAAATCGAATACACAAAAGGCCCCCCACGCTCAGGGCCCAGTGTGGTTTCTCCCCACCGTGAAGGGCCTGGTGCTGGACAAGTCCACAGCTGACCACAGAGTTCCACCCACCCTCCCTGCAGGTAAGGGCCTTCTTCGCCCCATGGCATCTGCTGACCTTCACAAATCAGGCCAGGCTCCTTACTTTCTAAAAAAATTTTCTCCACTCCACTGCTTCTGCATCTGGTCAAGATTTATACTACCCAGAAGTCTCTCCTACAGGGACTCTTGCGCTGGTGTTGCCGTGTTGCCCAGATGGTGTTCCCGGTGGCTCAGCCAGGTGCAAAGATGTCTGTCAAGAATGGGCCACATGTGTCACAGGGGTGAGCCTTTCGGGGGGAAGGACCTGCCTGGGGAGTTCTCATCTGTGACACCCACTGATGGGGAGCATCAGAAGGTGCAGCCTCATCCTTCACTGCATGCCGACAGCCTGATGGAAGATAAATGCCGGTGAAGTGCAGGTTTAATTGGTGGCCTGTGGCACCCCATAACAAATGTGTGTCTGATGCAACCAGGAAGTAGTCCATGGGGCCGCTGGCACGACAGGGGAGCCAGAATCAGGATCAGGAAGGGCAGCTGTGTGCCGCGGGTCTCTAAAGGTCAGAGAATGAAGGAGACCACACAGGGAGAGGGGACAAGGATGGATGGAGTATAGGATAAGGAGAGGCAGGGGCTCCAAACCACTCCCCTGCCAGTGGTCGTCCGGCAAGGCCTTGTTCCTTGCGACGGTGAGTGCTGTGCAAGAGGGTCTGTCCCGGGCCAGAAAATTCTGGTTGGAATGGAATACTTTGTTTTCAAGGAAAACTGAAGGATATGAGCACAACTCACGACCTGTTAAAAAAGAGCCAATGCCGCAAAGCACTGCATGGAGCACCAAGAGGGGAAAAGGTGTGGAGATGGGAAGGGCGGGGGACCAACAGGTGACTGAGGACAGAGTAAAAGTGATAAGTGGGCAAAGTGTCACAGACGGGGAAGAAAAAGTGGGATGAGGTCAGCCGCTGGTTGTGGCATCAGAACGCTAGGAGATACAGCACAGGTTGCTGGTAGAAGGCGAAGCCAGCCCTGATGCGACCATTCCCGTGGCTTCCACTCACCGGGGCCGGGCCTCCTTCAGGTCTTCTCTGCTGTAGTTGCCTCTGCGTCTACCTTCTCAGGCACCCTGCGTTCCCCTCTGGCTGCATTTGGGAAACAACATGGGTCCTGGAAACTGCAAGTCCTACGGGGAAAGAAGAGCTGGTTGAGTGGCTAGCAGTACCCACGGTGACCCTCTCCAGAAGGAAGAAAATTAAGTATTTAAAAAACAATCTTCGACACAGTCTTGCAGGAACAGCTCACTGTTCTTCACAAGGAGTGACCACACGGTGCCTGCGATTCTTGAAGAGTCAGGCCCCAGGATATGTCAATTAGAGGAAGCGGGCAGACTCTGGGCAGACTCTGAGAGATCAGGGATTTGGGTAATCACCCGGCCAAGGTGTGGCCAGGCCATATTTGTTGGGCAGAACACAAGACTCCTCACCCCCAAATCCTTCATTTCAAAGCTTTGGGACAGAAGAGGCTGGGGCTGCTCTAAGAGAAGAGGAAACAGTGTTCATTGCCCAGCTCTGGTACCCATACCACCTAGTCCAGGGAGCTAAGGAAAGGGATCATGCCATGATGGTACTGTCAGACAGAAAGCTGCCCTCTGGGGAAAAAGGGAAGAGCAAAACTCAGCCCAGGAAATTGGGAATCATACCTACCCCCAGGTATCCATGTCCCTGTTAAGTCTTTCCAGCCGAGCATGGGCTGAACCTAAAAATTCCTTTTTAATGAACAGATTATGGCAAAAATGATAGGATGTCACTTCCGAGAATAAGTTACAAAAATACCAGCCTCTATATTGGATGCTGTCTTTTGCTCAGGGGAATCAGCTGCTCTGTGGTGATCTACTTATGGAGAAGACATCATAGCAAGAGACTGAGGGAGGGTTCGGGACAAAAGCCAACAAGAAAATGACTAATTAGTCCAACAGCCTCTTGCTCGTGTGCATGACCTTGACAGGAGGTTCATCTCCAGTTGAGCCTTCAGATGAGACAGCAGCCCTGGAGAGTCTGACAACAAGGTTATGAAAGACCTTGAGCTAAAGATACCCACGTGAGATATGCCTGATTTCTGACTCACAGAAACTGTGAGATAATACACGTTTGTCGTCATCCCACTAACCTCTGGGATAATTTGCCACATAGCAACAGATAACCACAGCAGGGCCTTACCCAGTGAGGACACAAGTGCAAAGTTCTCCAGCATCACATCACGGTACAGGAGTCTCTGAGCCTCCTCAAGGAGCTCCCACTCCTCCCGGGAGAAGTACACGAACACATCCTCAAAGGTCACACAGCCCTGTCGTGATGGGGGGACAGTTGAGCCACAGGCAAGAGGACTCCCCAGTCAATCCACTCACACGACCACCCCGGTCCCTCTCCTCCCAGCTCCCGACTCAGAGGAGACACCAGGTCTTGGCGCCACTAGTGCCTGCTCTCTTCTCACGTCCCTCTGAGCACTGTGTGCTGAGCAGAGAGCCAGGCAGGTGGACAGGTGGGTACTGGGTAAGCTCTGGACGCCAAACACTGGTGCTGGCCAGTTCTCCTGGTGTCCTCCAGACCATGCCTCCCAGACACAACCAAACTTGGGCTCAGCCTTCTCCCAGAAGCCCCCACTACTAGGGCCTCAGGGCTCTCAGTTCATTTCTTCTCTCACTTCCAGTCTCCACCGTCGAGTGACGTCTGCGTCAGCCCCCCTCTCCTCAGCTCCAAACTAGCAGCAGAGAGGCGCAGCCTCCCGGCCTGCCATTCCACTGCTCTCTGCTCCCAAAAGACACAACGGAGGCTCTGTTCACTCCCAGCTCAACCCCACGTCCAAGTTCCCCGTTCCCTTGCGCCTGCTCCCGTGACTGGGTCGCCCTTCCAGTGTTATTCCCTGGGCCGTCCGTAACCGGAATACACGCGCCCTAGATCAGGATCCTGGGCCAGAGGGCCCTCCTCCAGGGACTCCATGACCGAGAACCGGGGGAGATAAGGCAGAGCCTCACCGCCACCATCGGCCACAAGGAGGAGCGGTGACCGTGAGGGTGACCCTTCACTCACCTGCGCCGGATTCATCCGTGCTGCCGCCCCTGCCACCACCGGGGGACCGGGTGGGCCAAGCGGGACCCTGAGAGGCGGGTGACCAGTGCGGGTCCCGAAGGCTTAGCCTGGGCGGGGTCGCCTGCAGCTGCTTGTCGCGCTCCGAGCCTCGCTAGACGACAGTGTAAGTGCTCGCAAGGCTCGGGCCGCCGCCTTCGGGGACCTCGGCGACGGAGCGCGGGGGCGGGGGCCGGAGAAGGCGCAGTCCCTGCGGCGCCCGTCCCACAGCCGGGCACAGTCTAGGGGAGATGGAGCCGATGCCCGGGCGTCACGACTCGCACAGGGCGCGGGGGCGGTCCCCGCAACGTCACTCTACCGCCCGGCGCGGCCCCGAGTGGCCCGGCGTGCGCCCCAGTCCACGTGGTCGTGGGTCGACCAGCCGCCGCTCACTGAGGGATGCGCTCCTGCGGCGCGACCGGAAGTCCCGCCCCGACCCCGCAGGAAACGCCCCTCCCGGGCGTCTGCGGCCCCTTCCCCAGGGCGGAAGCGCGCAGCACCCATTTCTGGGTAACGTAGTTTGCGCGCGCGCGCCACTTCCTGTCCCCACGGCAACGACAAGGGCCTGCAGGAACGCGCCGGGAATAGAGCCCCAGGTTTCCAAGTAAAGAAAAGCGCCCCAATTCCTGTGGGCGAGGGGCGAAGCCTCGTCCCCAGGAACTGGCGTCGCGGGACCAGGGGACCTCTCTGTGGCCCGCCGCGACCCGATGTGTCAGAAACTGCGAACGGGGATCAGCGCTGTCTTAAGGATCCTGCCGCGGTGCCCAGGTTTGAGAACCACAGCTCTACCGTGACGAGACTGGGCACTAAGTCTCTCGGAACTTGAAGTGCCTGTCACGCGGTTAGTGCTCAGTAAGTACCT